CAATAAGGAAAAGAAAAGACGATAATGGGTCTCCTTATCGCAGACCACGCGAGCTAGTAAAAAAACCCGCAGGTGAACTATTCACGAGCACAGAAAACATAACTGACGAGATACAAGTTTCAATCCATTTTATCCACCTGTCACCAAACCCCATCCTCCTAAGCAGATATAGAACAAATTTCCAATTAACATGATCATAAACTTTCTCGATATCAAGTTTACACAAAACGCCAAGATCCCTACTTTTTAATCTAGAGTCAACACATTCCCCTGCAATAAGAACAAAATCCAAAATCTGTCTTCCACCAACAAAAGCATTATGTGATTCTGAAATGAGACCATCCAAAACGTTACTCATCCTGGAGACGAGAACCTTGGCAATAAGCTTATACAAACATCCAATTAAGCTAATTAGCCGAAAGTCCTTAATATCAGAGGCACCGTCCTTCTTGGGAATGAGAGCAATAAAAGATACGTTCAGTGATTTCTCAAATGTGCCATGAGAATAAAAATCCCAAAAGGTGCCCATCACCTCAGCTCACACCACCTCCCAACTCTGCTTAAGAAACCGCATAGTAAACCCATCTGACCCTGGAGCTTTCTCCCCGTTGCAACTAGAAAGTGCCTTAAGCACTTCCTCCTCCGTGAATGGAGTCTCAATCCTATCACTATCTAACACAGAAATAGAATTAAAAGGAAGACCATCAAAAGTAGGTCTCCAATCCAAAGTCTCAGTGTAGAGCTGCTGATAAAAAGAAACGATCCCCCCACGTACCTCGTCCTTCCTCCATAACTCAGAACTATTGACCCGAATATGCCTGATATGATTACATCTTCTGTGAGCGTTGGCAAGTTTATGAAAGAATTTTGTATTACGATCCCCATCTTTTAACCACAAAGCCCGAGACTTCTGGTGCCACGAAATCTCTTCCATAAGAGCAATCTCAACAAAAATCGCTTGGCAAGAGGCTCTTCTAGAGTGTAATGATTCCCTCTATCCCACCTCATCAAGACGATTGAGTTCAGCAATATCATCAAGAACTCTATTATTCTTCCATTCAAGATTCCCAAACACTTCTTTATTCCACCTCTTTAACTTAGTTTTAAGAAACTGAAACTTTCTAGCTAACACATAACTAGCAGAGCCTGTGAAATTTGCTTCCTTTCACCAAGACTGAACCTTCCCTTAAAAGTCCTCGGATCTAAGCCACATATTTTCAAAGCGGAAAGGAGTGCGTCTAGAACTCAAACCACCACAATCAAGAACTAAAGGCACATGATCAGATGTGACTCTAACCAGAACAGCTTGAGAGACATCTGAGAAATGCTCTTCCCACGCCCCAGAAATCAGAAATCTATCCAACTGAGAAAAAGTAACCGGTTCCCTACCATTAGACCAAGTAAAGGCCGCCCTTTCCAATGATAAGTCAATGAGGAAATTACTATCAATGAATTCTGAAAACATGGTCATTTCTGAGGACCACCAGCCCCCTGTGGACCTCTCAAATGGGGACCTAATAGAATTAAAATCCCCACCTAAACACCAAGGCAATGACCATAAATCCTTAACATAGCAAAGCTCTTCCCACAAGACTGGTCTATCACTATCAATAACAGGCTCATAAACACCTGAAAAACATCCATATGAAATTGTCTTCTTCCATTTGAAACAAACAAGACACAGAAAAAAGACCCTTCCAACAATTCAAACTTGACAACCACTTACGATCCCACATGAGAAGAATACCACCTGAAGTGCCTGTTGCGTTCAGCACTTCCCATTCCACAAACCTACCTCCCCAAAGACTCCTTACAATCTCAACGGTGATAGTAGCCATCTTAGTTTCCTGTAAACAAACGACATGAGCACTCCACTTCCTCAAAGCTACCTTGACAACTCTTCTTCTTTTTAGATCATTTAGACCCCAAACATTCCATGTTATAAGTTGTAGCTTTATGTAGAACTAAAAATGATCAATTCTCCTCCTCCTCCCTGTTTACCAATTCTGGTTCTTCCCCTTTCTTTGGTCATCCCATTCTTCCCGTCATAATTAACACAAGAAATTAGATTCTTCACTTCCTGTTCACCTTTCCGATGTGAATTTTTGACTTTGATTTCTTTTATGCTACGATTAGGTTCAGTATTACCATTTCCTGCAACAATTTCGTGAAGAATAGACAAGGTTTGTTCTTTATACCGTTCTAAAGAAACACCCAATGCTTCACTTACTGCTCTAATATTCTCGATAACCCATTCCATGCCCAGATCAGTGGACGTCTCCAAACAATCTGGCCGTACAATTGCCAGAGGTTCCATTAAATCCACTTCAGATTGATCAAAATCCGTCCTGAAAAAAGAATCTTTAGAGCAATGCTGCTGAGAAGGAACATCAACCACTCCTAACTGCATATTCCCCTATGTTTCCGAATCATCATGTTCAGTTGACAAAATCTCCTAATGTTGACAAAGTTGTTGAGGCTAGAGAGTCTCCTAATCTCAGACAAGTGAATCCAGCTTGTGAGGTGCTCAGGAAAAAGGAGAAAGAGCTAATGAACATATACAATAGCTTGTCTAATGCTAAGGAAAAGTTCTATTTACAAAAGTCCAGGGTCAAGTGGCTCAAGGAATGTGAGAAGAATGCCAGTTACTTCATGAAAGCATTTTATAGTAGATGAAATAGAAAAAAGGTGAAGAAGCTTATTATCCAGGTCACTGAATCTTTGAAAGTTATTAAGGATGAGGCTGTGAGGCATTTTCAGAATTTATTGGGAAGAAATCCATCTTCTTATCTAGGTTTACAAGCTCTCAATTCTATCTCTAATAAAAGTGTTCCTGATCACTTGTTTGAGCCTATCTCCACTATTCCTTCTTTGGAAGAAATTAGAGATTGTTTCTTCTCACTGAAGAGCAATAAAGGCCCAGGTTTAGATGGGTTTAATGCCCACTTCTTCAAAAAAGCTTGGCCTGTGATAGGCACTGATTTGTCTTTTGTTGTGAGAGAGTTCTTTCTTAATGGACATCTTCTCAAAGAAATTAATTCAACCTACTTGTCTTTAGTCCCTAAAGTTCCTAACCCATTTGCCATGGGTGATTTTAGACCTATTTTTTGTTGTAATAGCATCTATAAGGTTATTTCCAAGCTCATTTCTCTTAAGCTCAAGGTGGTTCTCCCTGCTATTATGGACAAAATCATACTACATTCATTCAATATAGAAGAATTGGGGATGGGGTTTTCATTGCTCAAGAGTTGATGAAGGGTTATCATAGTGCTTCCCCAATTACTAAATGTACTATGAAGGTTGACCTAATAAAGGCCTATGATTATGTTAACTGGGAGTTCATGTTGGATGTTTTGTTGATCCTCAAGTTCCCACTTATATTTGTTAATTGGGTGAAGGCTTGTATTACTTCTCCTTCATACTTTGTGTCTATCAATGGTGAGTTGCATGGGTACTTCAGAGGTGTCAAGCGCTTAAGGCAATGTGATCCTATGTCACCTTTACTTTTTGTTATTATCATGGAGGTTTTGAATTCCATTGTTACAGATTCTATTCAGAATGAACCTGGCTTTCTGTTTCAATGGAGATGCAAGAAGATTAATTTCTCTCACCTTTGTTTTGCTGATGATTTAATGTTTTTCTGTCATGGTGACTTTGGTTCTTTTCAAGTTTTGCTTAGGAGTGTTGATGAGTTTGCTGCTCTTTCTAGGTTAAGACCTAATCCCTTTAAAAGTCTTATTTTCCTTTCTAGCGTAACAAGCGACAGTCGGGATGAGATGGTTGAAGCCAGTGGTTTTGAACTTGGAAAGTTGCCAATCAAATACTTGGGATTGTCTCTTACTACCTTTATTCTGAAAGCTAATAATTGCAGGCATTTGGTGAACAAGACTACTACTAGAATCAGTAGTTGGACTGCTAGATTCTTATCTTATGCAGGGAGATTACAACTTATTAAGTCCATTCTTCTAAGTATTCACACATACTGGAGTAGACACTTTATTTTGCCAATGCAAGTTTTTAAGCAAATCAATATCATTATAGAAGATTCTTGTGGATTGGGGTTGAGTTGAAGGCCTTAGGTGCAAAGGTCAATTGGAGAGCTATTTGTAAAACCTAGGGATTTTGGTGGGCTTGGGATTCCTAATTTGGCTAGTCTCGATAGAATTTCCATCCTTAATCACATTTGCAATATGGTAAAGGATAATAGACAATCTCTTTGGTTTGATTGGGTTCATGCTAATACTATTAAGGGCAAATGTTTTTGGTCCATCAATCCATCTCAGTTAAGCTCCTGGAATAGGAGAATGATTTTTAAGCTTCGTGGCCTTGCTAGGCCTTTTATCAAGCATATTATAGGCAATGGCAAAGACACCACAATTTGGCATGATTATTGGTTACCTATGGGGCCTCTGGATATTGATCACGATTTAATTGCAAGTTCTAGGTGGAGTGATGGTACCAGGGTTTCTAGTCTCATTAGACATGGTCAGTGGAGAATCCACCCTTCTTTTAGAGCTTTAGTTCCTAATATTGATAGTGATCATCTTCCTCAGATTCACATGGATCCCAGAGTTAAAATTTCTTGGTCTCTTTCTAATTCTGGTAATTTCAGCCTGAAGCATACGCTCTCACTGACCCTTGCCCTCTGTCTCCATGGGTTTTTATCATTTGGTTTTCAAGTTGTGTGCCTAGACATGGCTTCTTCACTTGGTTGGCTTTGCATGGTAGGCTCAAAACTTGTGACAGAACTAGACGTGTTCTATGTTCAGATGGAGTTGAATCCCATGAACATTTGTTCTTTCAATGCCAGTACTCTAGAGTTGTGTGGGAGAATTTCCAACACAAATGTGGTGTTTATTGTGGAGTGCCTGTGCTTTCTAGCATTGCGCTTTGCATTTCTAGTGCGTGGAAAAAAAATTCTAAATCTTTCATCTTGAGCACATACAAATTTGCTTCGCAACATGTATTTATTATATTTGGAAGAAGAGGAATTCGCGTACCTTTTCTGGGAAGAATGTGAGCTCTGGTATTTTGATTAAGCAAATTGAGGAATGCATTAGGAACAAGCAGAACTCTGTCAATTTCAATGACTGTGGTTCTGCGAGGTCAGTCGCCGAAGCTTGGTTCCTTCCGAGCACTGTCATTAACGGAGCTGCCATTGATGATTGATTCGTTGGGTTGTGTCTATCCTGTCGCCTTCTGATTTTTGTTGCGTCCTCTGCTTATTTGCAGTTGCAGCAACAGTTACTTAGGCTAGTGGATTGGGCTTGTTTTTTTCTTTTGGTTGTTTTGTCCTTTTGGGCTGTGTTGGCTTAGGCCTTGTTTTATTTATTTATTTATTTATTTATTTTTAATACAATTTATTTATCGGAAAAAAAAATCATTATTTTTCTTAAAAATTAATTATTCATTTCTCGTATTAATAACTCGAGTTGGAAAGGCTATGAACTCAAATTGGTCATATTTTTATTATTATTATTATTATTATTATTATTATTATATATATATATATATTATGTGTTCCAAGGGTATCCATTCATTAGGGTCATCAATTCAGACCAACTGAGTCCTGGTCAAGGTCAATTGGGTTACATACCTCACAATTAAGTTTCCTGTGTGCAAATGTGCAAAGTGAAGCGTAAAAGAGTATGAAGTCCAATGAAAATCTAATTGAAGTACTTATACAGACCGATATGAATCAACATGTTTATTTCAAAAAATTTCTTTATTTTCAAAAATCTCTTGGCTTCTATATGCAAAGTATTAAACACATGTTTCGATTCCAAAAGTTCCAAATTACACTATCATTGCTTCTAACAACATGATTTTATTAATTAACATGCATAAAAAATGAACAAAAATCATAAGAATGTAAGCACATGCACCCCCAAACTTGAATGTCACATTGTCCTTAATGTGAGAAGACAAAGAATAAGAAAAATAAAATAAAAATGGAAAGTGCCAAGAACAATAGTACCAAGTTGAGGAGGAATGGAGTGGTGGTGCGAAAATAGGCCACTTCGTGAATTCCATGAGCATACCCCCAAACTTGAATTCAAAAACCTGTCAAAAGCATCTATACAGAGCAAGAATCATATGAATCCAAAAATCACTAATGATAAATGCAATTTATTTCAAAGCTAATATCCATACAAAGAAGTAGAATGGAATGCAGTTATAAGTTCAAAAGAAACTGGAAAATAAATGCCAAACGCGGCCTAAAAGAAGTCTAAAATAGTACTACGGGAAAAGGGAAATAAAACTGAAAGCATAAAATCACTCCACCATCGGAGTGGAGGAAGAAGCACCAGGTGCGCTAGGCGCACGGTCAATCAATGACTGGAGCATAGCCTGTAAAATCTCTTGATTCTCTTGAGTCTTCTGGACAGCGCCCTCTATGGCGTCAAAGCGCAAGCCAAATGCATCGAGACAAGCATTGAAAGCGAGATAGTCAGTTTGGGTTATGACATCTAAAGGCGGAGGCATAGGGGCATCATGAACAGGCAGAGCAGGAGCCACAGGGGGTGCTGGAGCACCCCAATCCAACTCGCCACCAATGCGGGCCTGACAGAACGTCTGAAGCTGAACTATGCTCGACTTCTAAACCCCAAGAGGAAAATCAAGAACCGTCTTTTCTTTATCTTCACCCCGGGGTGCTTTGAATCCGGCATCTTTAAGCAACCTTGTGATAAGGTAAAGAAAAGGGAATGCCCATGTGGTGGTAGTGTGCGACCTAACCAAGATTAATTCATTGTAAATTTTTAGCATTTGGTCCCAGACAAGCTGTGGGACCCAAAACCAATATCCCTTTTTCAGCGGTGTAGAGGGCTTTTAGAAAATTCCCCTTATGCTTGGAGTGGCCTGGCACGGGAAGGGAATTCTTGGCCAGGACCGAATTAAGAAACCACAGCCGGCATGATAAGAAGGATTTATTAGTGCTTGTGGTCTGATTGCCGGTGAATTAGCCGTGGCAAATCTCCCCCACAATGTCGGACAAGGTCAGGTCGGGAAGAGCAACATAGAGAGGCAAGCCTACCCCGTCCACGGGAGATTCCAATGGGCAGTCCATGGCAAAAGCAAAATTATCAAGGGTGAACTCATACTTATAATCATCAATGGTGGTTTTAATTTTGTCTGGTTCCGCACATGAATAGAACATGTTGGCGTAGAAGAGACGGACCACGCGTGGGTAGTAGGAGTGAACACATGGTTTGAAGAGAACTTCAAGACCACGCTCCTTCAATTCGCGGACGGACCACGCCATCTCATGATTATGCTTAAAACCATATTTGATAGCGAACTTGGCTTTGGGAACGATTGGCCATTCAGTCCAATTTGGGGTTGGAGGCGCATTAGAAGGGCCCTCGGACGATCTAGCACGCTTGGAGGCCACTCTAGAAGCCATTGGATGGAAGAGAATTGGTTCAGACCTTTTTACGAACACCTGGTGTGCAGTAAGAAAGGGAAGAGATGCAAAATGGTGAGAGAACTTGAAATATCCCAAAAATTTGAAGTCTTTAATCAACAAAACACAAGTCCCAACAACTACACATCCTCTACACAATTAACCCCGTCCGCCATGACGCAAAACTTGAAAGAGGAAGAAGAAAAGGAACTTACTAAACTATGAAGAACACAAGACCTTTCTTGCTTGATGCACGGAAGATGGGAATGAGAGTTTGTTGACTGGAGATGAGATGTGAGATGGATGGGATGAGATGTAGATGGCCAAGATTTGGAAGAGAGTGGGAAGTTTTGAGGGTTTGAAAGGGTTAGGACGAGAGTGGAGAGGGAGAAGAAGAATTATAACAACATAAATGGGCTTGAAAGCCCATTTAGAATCCAGCGGAGGGAAACCGCAGGCGCCCGCGGACACACGGCGGGATACTGGGGAGTTTGGCGGGGCCCTGCGATGAACGGCGGGGGTCCGCAGTAGCTGCAACGGGGGCTCGCGAACAATGGTGGGGCCCCGCGGAGTTACTTAGCATACTGACATGTTTCGCAGGCGCCGGCAGTGGCGCGGCGGGTGCCCGCGGGACCTCTTATAAAGCTACTTTGTGCAGCAAGGCTCAGCCTATAAAGCCCGGACTTGATCACATAGACTCCCAACAAGGATAGAAATGCGTTGGAGAACCTGGGAACCGCATAGGATTAAATAGACGAGACAACTTCACGAGCAACGGCCATGAGATTCACATGTTAAAAGAACCTTGGACAAGACGGGAGACATGCCCATATGACCATGAATATTTCCAGAAGTTGAACAAAGACCTGAACTAGGCACTCGGGAGAAGGAAGCTTGGAGGATGGAAGAATTGCTTCTGTTGAGAGCTAAATTTAACGTCGATAGCTAGACGAACCAAGATCGCACATTAGTCCTCGTAGACTGGGTCCGTTAAGAGGACTTTCTTTACTTTGCGGATAGGGATTATGCTGTCAATGTAAGGCTTAAGCCGTTGGCCATTAACCTTAAACAGAGATCCAACAGCTGGATCTTGAAGCTCTACTGCTCCATGAGGAAAGACGGAAGTGACGATATATAAACCATCCCACCGTGACCGGAGTTTATCGGGAAAGAGTCTCAATCTAGAATTGAAAAACTAAACTTTTTGTTCAGGAGCAAAAGACTTTTTGACAATGTGCTTGTCATGAAAAGCTTTAGTCTTTGCCTTATAAATTTTGGCACTTTTATACGCATCATTTCGAATTTCCTCAAGCTTATTGAGTTACAATCTGCCAGTAGAACCAGCTTGTTTGAGATCAAAGTTGAGCCTTTTTATGGCCCAATAAGCACGGTGCTCTAGTTCAACTGGGAGATGACAAGCTTTGCCAAAGACAAGCCGATATGGTGACATGCCAATGGGTGTCTTATAAGCTGTCCGGTAAGCCCAAAGCGCATCGTTTAGTCTCAATGACCAATCTTTGTGGTTCGGTCGAACCATTTTTTCCAAGATATGCTTAATCTCCCTATTAGATACTTCCACTTGACCACTCGTTTGAGGATGGTAAGGTGTGGTAACCTTGTGAAGGACAGAGGACTTGGAGAGGACGGATTTAAGGTAACGATTTCGGAAATGAGATCCACCGTCACTGATGATTGCTCGGGGCGTACCAAAATGACTAAAAATGTTAGATTGAATGAATTGGATCACGAATTTATGATCATCAGTTTTGTTAGCCTCGGCTTCAACCCATTTGGAAACATAGTCCACCGCTACAAGGATATACTCATAGCTATAAGAAGATGGAAATGGTCCCATGAAGTCGATCCCCCACACATCAAAAATTTCAATAATGAGGATGGGAGTGAGGGGCATCATGTCTCTCCTAGACATGGATCTGAGCTTTTGGCAACACTCACAAGATTTACAGAAATTGTAAGCATCCCGAAACAAGGATGGCCAATAAAATCCGTTTTGAAGGACTTTGTCAGCGGTCTTTCTAGCACTAAAGTGTCCCCCACAAGCAAGAGTGTGGCAGAAATTTAGGACACTTATGGTTTCATTGTTAGAACGCATCTCCGGATGATTTGATCTGGGCAATACTTGAACAATTCTGGATCTTCCCAAAAGAAATGCTTAACTTGGGGGAAGAAACGGTCTCTTTCTTGTTTTAACCAATTGGATGGAATTTTGCCTACCGCAAGGTAGTTGACAATGTCTGTAAACCAAGGGAGATTTGAATGGGAAATCTGAAATAGTTGCTCATCCGAAAAAGAATCCCAGACTATAGTAAATTCAGAAGATTTTTCAATAAGTAGACGAGAGAGATGGTCTGCGACAACATTGTCTGTCCCTTTCTTGTCCCAGATCTCAATGTCAAACTCTTGAAGTAAGAGTATCCATCGAATTAGGCGAGGTTTGGTCTCTTTTTTCGCGAGCAAATGCGTAAGAGCGGCATGATCCGAAAAGACAATGACCTTGGATCCAAGAAGATAGGAACAAAATTTATCCAAGGCATACACCATATCTGGCAATTCTTTCTCAATGGTGGTGTAATTTAACTGGGTGTCGGAGAGTGTCTTGCTAGCATAATAGATGACGTATGGAAGTTTATCCACACGTTGGCCCAAAACCACACTTAATGCATAATTGGATGCATCACACATGATCTCAAATGGAAGAGACCAATTAGGCAGTTTCATGATTGGGGCGGTTGAGAGGAGAGTGTGAAGTTTTATGAAAGTTTCCATACAAGCTTCATCGAAATTGAACGGAACATCCTTGGCAAGAAGATTACACAAGGGCCAAGAAATTTTGCTAAAGTCTTTGATGAAGCGACGATAGAAACCGGCATAGCCAAGAAAGGAACAGATTTGACGGACATAATTTTGAGGAGGAAGATTAGAGATTAACTCAACTTTGGCTTTGTCCACCTCAATTCCCTGTTTAGAAATGACATGTCCTAGAACAATGCCTTCTTGGACCATAAAATAGCTTTTTTCCCAAC